TCCTTCAACCCGACCAACAGTGTTTTCAAAAGCAATCCAGAAAAAGAAAAGCACCCTAATTTTTTACCACATTTTCAGATTTTACCACATTCTCACCCTGTTATTTACTTGTCTATTTTATTTTTGGCTTCTATTTTTGTCTTACCTGCTTACTGGAACCGTTCTTCAACGGACTCAAACCCCGTTGTCACAGTCAACTCCGCTCTGCATATCAAGTTCACCGACATATGCTACGCGCCACAAACTGTTTACAGCAGGAAAACCATCCCAATGGAAAACAGGAACAGAGCCATTTCGCCTGTAGTGTTCGTTTTGAGATGAAATGCAGCCATATGTACTTTTGGCTACATAAGTTGTGATCTCCGAACATGTATATATGGGACGCGTTTAGAATGAGCCTATGTTTGCAATGATATTCTGAACATTATCTTGTCCTTTTCAGGCATTTGTTTTTCTTTGGATGACCACCAGCCTTCATGAAGTACTTGAATGAGTTTAAGGCTTACTTCATCCAAAAATGGTAATTGTTATTAATTTTAGTAACACTTTATTTTGATGGCCCATTTGAGTATTATTAGACTGTCTGCCTAATATCTGTTGATATGCTCCTTCAACAGACACTTAACTGACTATAAGAAACTTATCAAGTACATGTCAACTTACACTAACTCTAACCCCAACCTAACAGTCTAACCTATCTATCTATCAATCCATCCATCCAGCATCGTCTGTCTGTCTGTCCGTCCGTCCGTCCGTCCGTCCGTCCGTCCATCATCTATCTATCTATCTATCTATCTATCTATCTATCTATCTATCTATCTATCTATCTATCTATCTATCTATCTATCTATCTATCTATCTATCTATCTATCTATCTATCTATCTATCTATCTACCTACCTACCTACCTACCTACCTACCTACCTACCTACCTACCTACCTACCTACCTACCTACCTACCTACCTACCTACCTACCTACCTATCTATCTATCTATCTATCTATCTATCTATCTATCTATCTATCTATCTATCTATCTATCTATCTATCTATCTATCTATCTACCTACCTACCTACCTATCTATCTATCTATCTATCTATCTATCTATCTATCTATCTATCCATCCAGCATCGTCTGTCTGTCTGTCCGTCCGTCCGTCCGTCCGTCCGTCCGTCTACCTACCTACCTACCTACCTACCTACCTATCTATCTATCTATCTATCTATCTATCTATCTATCTATCTATCTATCTATCTATCTATCTATCTATCTATCTATCTATCTATCTATCTATCTATCTATCTATCTATCTATCTATCTATCTATCTATCTATCTATCTATCTATCCATCAATCCATCTATCCAGCATCGTCTGTCTGTCTGTCTGTTCGTCCGTCCGTCCGTCCGTCCGTCCATCATCTATCTATCTATCTATCTATCTATCTATCTATCTATCTATCTATCTATCTATCTATCTATCTATCTATCTATCTATCTATCTATCTATCTATCTATCTATCTATCTATCCACCATCCATCCATCCATCCATCCACTTTTGTGGTTAGCACTGTACAAGCTTAACTGGTCTATCCACTGTGACTGAAATACTTTTCCTTGAGAGACTGATCACACATCCATTCTAGCATCCTCTCTCTCAACCCACCCTCTGACTGCCATTCAAATAGAATTATACCTCCTTTCCTAACCACTGCTGCCCAGCTGGTGCCCACGGGCAATTAGCCCAGTAAGCATAATTGCAGTAATTTGTTAAGCGCTATGGCAACCTCCATTTAGACCAGAAGTAAATATATGTCTCCAAGCGTGTAAGACGTTCATGTATGTTCAAGACCAACACAAAGGGCTCAGGAATGTCCACATTCTCATGTAAATGTGTTTTAGTTTGACTAGAAAACAGAGAACCGTTAATAGGTAAAGTAACCGTGTTCTCAGTACAGTTGAAACTGATAATGATTAATGAGCGTCCTGTATTTAGACAATGTGGTCATGAAATGTCACCATGCAAATACTACCAGTGCTATTAAGATTAGGTCCGTCCTCTTGTAAATAAAACAGGATATGCTAAGGGAGAAACTATTCATCCCAGGAATAGGATTGCTCTATTTGTTCAATTGTTTCCTAGAGTTACTGTCAAACAGGAATGTGAATGGAGTGGTTTACAGTTGAAATCAGAATTATTAACCCCCCTTTGAATTTGTTTTCTTTTTTAAATATTTCCCAAATGATGTTTAACAGAGCAAGGACATTTTTACATTATGTGTATTTTTTTTTATATATGGAGAAAGTCTTATATGTTTTATTTCTAGAATAGAATTGCTAGAATAAAAAGTTTTACATTTTTAAACACCAATTTAAAGTCTACAGAACAAACCATCGTTACACAATAACTTGCCTAATTACCATAACCTGCCTAGTTAATCTAATTAGTTAAGCCTTTGAATGGCACTATAAGCTGTATAGAAGTGTCTTGAAAAATATCTAGTCAAATATTATGGTAACACTTTACAATAAGGTTCATTAGTTAATGCATTTACTAACATCAACTAATCATGAACAACACATGTACAGCATTTATTAATCTTAATTAAACATTTACTAATGCAGTATTAACATTCAAGTCCATGCTTGTTAACATTAGTTAATGCACCATGAGTTAACATGAACTACTGTAGTAAATGTATTGTTCATGGTTTGTTCATGTTAGTAAACGCATTAATTAACATATTAACTAATAAAAATTTGTAAAGTGTGACCAATATTATTTACTGTCATCATGGCAAAGATAAATCAGTTATTATAAATGAGTTATTACAACTATTATGTTTAGAAATGTGATGAAAAAAATCTTCCCTCTGTTAAACAGAAATTGGGGGAAAAAATTAACAGGGGGGCTAATAATTCAGGGGGGCTAATAAATCAGATGGGGCTGATAATTCAGGGGGGTTAATAATTTTGACTTCAACTGTACCTTTTTAATTTAATGGGATATTTTAGCCCAAGCTATCCCTTCTGCTGACCCTTTAGTCATTCCACAACTTTTTTTCTCACATTTTTCTAGAAAAAACTTTTTGTTCATGGAATTTGAATCAGTGGAGTCCAACAATAGGCTTTGGTGATTTTCATTGTGTGTACAAGAACAGAAAGATTTTCTAAAAAGTTTTTTTTTTTGTTAAAAAGATGAAAGAAAGTCACGTTCAAGAGACCAGTTTGTGATGATTGGAGTTTTGTGATTGGTGTGTTATCCTGCTGGATTCACTGTGGTCATAAAAGAATGGACCTGGTCAGTAAAAATATTCAGACTGTTGCATAATAGTAATACTCAGACTGAAGTACGCCAAGAAATTATCCTCCATCATCCTGATACAAGGAAAGATGAATCCATGTCTTCTTGTTGCTATTTATATAGTGGGAAATAGTTTGCACTGATCAGTATCTTAACTAATAACATTATTAATACAAATAATAGAATATCAATATATATTTGACCACCCCTATAAAGGTTCATACCATTGTTATCATGCCCAGCATGCAATGCGAGAATATATTCCGTGAATCCTACTCATAGACACTGTAAAAGTTTTAACTACATTCTTCTTATAATTGTTTGTATCAATATGTTGTATTTACATATAGTCTAAAAGTAAAATTAGTTTCATACCTTATATTTTAATAGGGGGCATCAGAGTGCCGCAGCATGGGTAGCATGATCACCTCATAGCAAGAAGGTCACTGGTTCAAGCCTCGACTGGGTAAGTTGGCATTTCTGTGTTGAGTTTGCATGTTCTCCCCTTGTTCGCATGGGTTTCCTCCAGGTGCTACGGTTTCCCCTACAGTCCAAATACATGCACTATAGGTGAAATGAATAAACTAAATTGGCCGATGTGTATGTGTGTGAATGCAAGGGTGTATAGGTGTTTCCCGGTGTTGGGTTGCGGCTGGAAGGGCATCCGCTGCATAAAACGTGCTGGAAAAGTTGGCGGTTCATTCCACTGTGGTGACCCCTGATTAATAAAGGGACTAAACTGGAAACAAAATGAATGATTTTTTAATAGATGCCTATGCACATGGAAATGTAACAGTAAGCTAAAACAGTTAGCACAACTTTTTTAAAGCTCATCCATTTATCGTCCAGGAATACAAACTTGTCACAAGTAAAAAATAGGTCATGTTTGAGAATTATGCCTGTTGAAGTAGCCCATCAGAGGTAACTATATAGCTTAAAATCAGTACATTATCTTGAAAATGTTTGATTAATAAATGAGATTTAAAAAATGTATATATGCATTTGGTTCGTTGAAGAATCCCCTTAGATCAGGGGTGCTCAAACCTTTTTATATGTAGGGCTAAAAACCAATTATCATTGTGAGCCATGGACTGAAAGTAAAAATACTAAAATAAATCACATTAGAGTTCATTCATTCATTTTCTTTTCGGCTCAGTCCCTTTATTAATCTGGGGTCCCCACAGTTTAATGAAACACTAACTTATCCAGCATATGTTTTACACAGCGAATGCCCTTCTAGCTGCAATCCATCACTGGGAATTATATTAAAGTTGCTATAGCTAATTTATTAGCTTATTTTGTATTATTATTTTAAAAAAATTAATTAAAAAATTACTTTAAATCGTGTAGACTAATGCCCTATAATTTTTTTTATCATAACTTATTACAATAAAAATACTATCACATTTTTTATGGCAGAGTGGAATTTAATGCTAAATACACTAGTCATGCAGAATCAGCTTTTGTCTCCAATAGCTCAATATCTCTGCATTGTGCTCTATCCATCGGTTGAAAGTATGTGCATTAAAAAAAAAAAAAAAAGCTAATTAATTTCATTAAAGACATTTAATTTCCATTAACTTTTTGGGGCTTAGCAATAAAACAAACAAACAAAAATTACATTTAATTACAAATTACAGTCTCTAAACTGTCCCCATCATTCTCCCTCTCTTGTCAGATGAGATGTTGGGCCAAATCAAAAGCTACCATGGGCCAACTTTGGTCCGCGGGCCCTAGTTTGAGAAGGGTAATCCTGCACAACTGGAGTGGCTGCACTCTCAGGACCGCATTTTTAGGACCGCATCTTTAGGACCCTATTTTTTTGTGACAGCGCCAACTGTCGGATTGGATCAAGGATGCGCTAATGGACGACACGGATGACAAGGAAAGTGTAAGTACCGATTTTCTATTAAGTTTTATTTTAAACTGTTAAAGTATGTTTTTTTGTAATGCTGCTGTTTTATACTGTAAAGTTATGCAGAAATGCTAGATTAGCCTGCATGATTTACCCCAACGGTCTGGGGACTGGGACAAAAATGTTACGTGACGAGTTTTTTTCCAGAAGAATAAAATATGATAATAATAATTATGGATAATTTTACACAGCCAGAGTAAGAGCTGCTATAACTGTTAATAATTTTCTAGAGTTCGTTTTCTAGTTTGATTAAATGCTACGACGATCGTAGTTCGTGACAATGGTTTATTGAAACATTGTTGATTTAATGGCTTGTTGACTTAACGGCGGTCTAATACGCTTAGTGACACATGCATTAAACTAAGATGGTAAAAGCACGTTGATGTGAGAGTTTCAGATTTATCTATATTTTGCTATATTCGTGTAAAAACCCTTACTCAACGTTGTATTACATTAGCACATTAAAAATTGTGCTGACTGCCTGTTAGCCCCACAATGTGTTATTAGCCTGATGTTTTGTCATCGTTTTACAGTGATGAATGAGATGTTTGACGGTTTTAAAAGTTAGGCTTATTCTGCAGGCCTTAACCATATAAAGTCTCATATCTTTAATGTATATCAGGTATGTTTTACCTGGCGAATAAGAAGTGTTGGCCAATATGATTGGATTGCCTAGGCCCATTGTAGGAAGAAAAGAAAACAAACTACAGGAATATTTTCATTGAGGTTATCGCAAACTGTTGAGTTACACTTTATAACATCTGCATACTATAAATAATTTATTAAACATTTAATAACTAGTTAATTTATTAATATTTTATTTGTTTAGCATTAACTCTACATTTAATAGACATTGATAAGCAGTTTATAAATACAGTTACAAATGCTAGCTGTGTTCTTGAGTTTATAGCATATCTCTGATGAAGTGCAGCTTATCTGTGGTGTTCATTTTCCAGAGGAATGTCTGGCCAAATAAGTATATAAACTGCATGCTGGGTGCTACTCATTTATGAACCCATGTAAAATGATTTGCTGTTCTGTGGTGGTATTTTAGTCCATATTTAAATGATTTTATTTTATTTTTTTCATAGGACATCGTACATGCTCTGGGTGTCTTGAGGAGCTTGTCTTTGGATGATGCTGAGCAGGTCTTTCTTTCTGGTAACGGTTATCATTACAGGTCAGAATATGGTTAATTTTGCACAATGCTCAAAGAGCCTTTTTGTTACTGGTATATATGTTAACTCAACAGTGATTGTTCTCTATTGCAGTGAAGTAAAATAATTTAACAGACAGATTGACAAACAACTGACGAAAGAAGAGAGACCATTCAATAGGTGGGTATTGCTCTTATATACTAAAAAATATGGAGTTGGCAGTAAGGTTTCCTGTTTGGTTCTCCCAACAGTGCATATATATATATATATATATATATATATATATATATATATATATATCTGTGTGTGTATATATGTGTGTGTGTGTGTGTGTGTGTGTGTGTGTGTGTGTATATATATATATTATAGCTAACACTGTAAAGCAAATGTTTGTTATTATACCACTTATATTAAATATTAATCTAAATTTAATTGCATAACAATTGATTAACCTTTTGAGTTTATATACATGATTTTACATATTCAAGAATATCTATATACATTCATTTTTCTTTTCGACTTAGTCCTTTTATTTATCAGGGGTTGCCACAGCAGAATAAACCGCCAACTTATGCAGCATATGTTTTACACAGTGGATACCCTTCCAGCCGCAACCCAGTACTGGGAAACACCCATTTACACTTATATACTTGAACATGGGGAGAACATGCAAACTCCACACAGAAATGACCACTGGCCCAGCCGGGGCTTGAACCAGCAACCTTCTTGCTGTGAGGCGACGGTGCTAACCACTGTGCTGCCCCATGTGCTCTATGCGGGTGAGTGGGATTGACAAACCACCTGGAGGACACACTCTTGCTGTCTTAATGCACCAGACATTTTGTTATAAATAATCATGTGCGTTTCATGTTTATTTATAAAACTGCTAATTTATCTCATAGCACTTCATTTTTGTCTTGATATTTAATATCTTTTGTTTAAATACACTATGAACAGCAGCTGCGCTAATTATTTTCCTTGTTCCCTATTTCCACCTGGGGATATTTATCTAGAGGCCTCTAGAGATCGTGACCTGTGAAGAGATGATGCCACCATAGAGGACTTCTAGATGTATCCATAATCCTGGACCAGACCGTATCATGAGCAGATGCAGTGGTGGTCATGGAGAAGTGGAGAGCATGAGACTCATTAATGAAAGACCCCAGCGACAGATGAGTGCCCACATTGATCCTGTGGTCCAGCCTGAAAACCCGCTGGTGCCCTACTCACACCAGCAGCTTCTCCACGATGGACGCCCAGTGTTCTTCAGCCTCCAGCGCTTAGACTGCAGCTCTGCACGTGAAGTGTGGCCAGAAGAGAAATGGTTGTGCCCAACTGAGCCTGGTTTCTCTCAAGGTTTATTCCTTCACTTTCATCAATTGGTAAAGTTTTGTTCCTCCACTGTCGCCATTGGTTTGCTTGGTTTAGGACTTGTGGAACTGTGCATCGATGGATTTGCTTTTCAGTGTTTGGACTTTCAGCAGTGAAAACTAAACCACACTGAACTGAACTGAATTTAATAAATGTTAAGCTGCTTTGACACAATCTACATTGTAAAAGTGCTTTAAAAAATAAAGATGAAATTAATTGAAATTGAATTGAATATTCAACACGTTTCCATTTTTCTCAGAAAACATATTTATAAAGGTGCTGTTGACATGAAATTTTCACCAGATGTTGATAACAATTTGTAAAGTAATTAGATTTGTTTTCTATTTATATATTTTTTTATTTGGTTTTCAGGTCAATAGCACCTTTAGAAATATGTTTTCTGAGACAATTGGAAATGTGTTGAATATTTATTTACCCTACTGTGTGTATGTATGTATATATATACATATATATATATATATATATATATATATATATATATATATATATATATATATATATATATATATATATATATATATATATATATACATACATACATACATACATACATACATACATACATACATACATATACTTGAACTCTCTTCTTCTCTCTCATTCACAGGAATAAAAAATTGAATGCAGCAACTGAATAAACAGTGGGGTCATTTTTGTGGTTGAATTGCATTAATACAGAAAGACTGTGTGGATAATTATATAAATGTACATTCTTGAATCATTCTTGTGTCTTGACTCTCTAAAACCTTTACAACCTGGTATTAAATTAGTAACTGCAAATGCTGATCCCATTTGATTTCAATTTATTTTCCCTAATACTGAGCCAATAAGTTCAATGTAATGGGGTACATCAATATACAGTATTTTTCCAAGGAATTTAAGACTTTTAAGGCACTCAACTCTATTTATTCATTTATATTTTAGGTGTAAATTCATTTGTTTCATTTTAAAATTGTTATTTAAAGCAGGCGTTTTACACTTTAACCTCTGGAAAAAAGTGCCTGAAAACGGGTCCTAGAAATGCAGTTTCACTATGTCATCCAATCCGGTAGGTGGCGCTTCCGCAAAAAACTAGGGTCCTAAAAATGCGGTCCTAAAAATGCGGTCCTGAGAGTGCAGCTACTCCAGTTGTGCAGGATCATACTATTGCCTAGTTTGGGCATCTCTGCCTTAGATCGTCAACTTTCTCTGTACACTCATGCGTGTATAGCCACCAGCCAATCACATACTTTTAAACATAAAGACACTGTGATTGACTTTTCACACGAGAGCTGATTGGTTTAATCTAAGTTTATCATCTCTAAACCAGAGCACATGTCCCGGTTTAGTCAGAAACCATGGCAAAAAAGGTACCTTTAAACCTAGGATTGTTGTAAACTAAACTGAATAAACTAGCCAGCTAATCCAGCATCATGTTCCCCTGAAGTAGCAGTGAGTGTGTGTTGATGACGTAAACTCAAGATTTAAAGTTAACAGTGTTTTATATGACACAGTTTATGTTGCATTTTGCAATGATTGGTTTAAAAAAAAAGAAAAAGAAAAAGATTAAACAGGCAGATTGGGAGTGAACTAATCTAATTAAACAAGCCATAGGGTGTGATTGATAATGTGAAGATGGGGACCTCTAGTGGTAAGCATGAAACATGTTGATATGAATGGCTTAAAAAGAAACTATCTAGGTGTAACTGCTGTATTTTTCTGTGGACCTCATTGCTTTAGAGAGGAAGACTTTGAGTTCCATAGAAGTCAATGCAATACAACAATCTCATATCACTTTTTTAATACCATTTTGTGTGTAAAACTGAGTGAGTGTAAATGACATTATGGTTCTGTGAGTGTATATTAAACCTGCGATGGACTGATGCAATGTAAAGTGTATTTATATAGTGCATTTGACTAATCATCAACATTAGTCTCTATCTATGGCCTGAAGAGAGGTAAATGCGTAGCACAAGCCATTTGGAATTGGTTTGGATTGCATGCATGTATATAAGGATGGAGGTTGTATGCAGGCATGGGTGTTTGTGTGCAGGAAACGCCTGTGACGATTGCTGCTGACAGCATATGAGAGGTTCATGTGTCCATTTGTAGGAACTAGATTAGCACCATTATTTCTGAACAAACACATCCCACCTGTCCAGATCCCTCTGCTGTAGAGGTCACCACATGTAAACAAATCACTTCCTGTATCGTTTCACGTATTTTGTTTCACTTCACAAGACATGCGACTATGACTGAATAAAGTCATATAATCAGAGAATGGCTTGAGGGTGAGTAAAAAATTGGGGTAATCAAATTTTAATTCCAGCAAGTAAACAACTCCTTTATGTAAGTATGTGCAATGATTAGCCTGTGTTTTGTACAAGTTGCTCCCCAATAGTATTGCTGAGCGCCACCTGAGTCTGAATAAATGTGAGACACTTCTGAGAATGGCAATAAACAGAGAATGAAAGACAAGCGGTTGGTTGACCATGACTGGGGAATGATCTCTGTCCCAGGGGTCAGTGAGTGTTACTTTGAAAATGCACAACTGACCCATCCTCAACAGACACAACAATCACAGCTACTGAAGAATGACACAAGCTCCAAATGACGCAGTCTCAGACAGAAATATCTACACACAAAGCGACAGACACGCATGTTAAAACAAGTTTAAAATGGTATGCAGAGTTGATTTAAACCTTTTTAAAATAAATACTATGTGTAGTGGAGTCTAGTGGACAGCACACAGAATAAGTGACACTGCTGAAAAATCCAGCTTAAACCAGCCTAGGCTGGTTGGCTGGTTTTAGCTGGTCGACCAGGCTGCCCCCATAGCAAAATTTCTCTGGCCCAGATCTGGCCCACACCATGAGCATTTGCTTGGCCCACATGCCGCAGTGAATTACGGTACATGACTGGACCAATTCTGGCTTCTATACAAGCGGCAAACATGGACCAAGTCTCAGCCAAATTAATAACCCATAACTGGGCCTGAACTGGGCCCGATATGTTGGTGTGTTACGATTGCAATGTTTTTTTATAAACCCATGAAGCATTTCGCTTTATGGCTGTGCTTTTTCTTGAAGCGACCCGATTGATAGAATTTTTTCTTTGCTCAAAAATAATATAAATGTATTTTAAAAGTGGGTCAAGCTAGGCCAAAGTTATGTGGCCCACATGTACATTTAAACATCTGGGCCAAATACTACACTTGAGATCTGGCTCAAGTCTTGAGGGCCGCCTGTAAGACGGTGCCACCTCAGCCAAACCTGGGCCATGTTTGGCCCATATGTTGCATGCCAGTGCCAGACGAATGCCTGCTGTGCCAGCTTTATGCCAAATTTGGGCCAGAATTCTTTGCTACCTGGGTGATTTTAGAGGGGTTTTGGCCATTTCCAGGCTGGTTTCCAGCCATTTCCAGCCTGGTCTTAGCTGGTCAGGCTGGGAGATGACCAGCTAAAACCAGCTTGACCAGCCTAGCCAAGCTGGGAGTCCAGCCAAAACCAGCTATATCCAGCTTAAACCAGGCTGGTCAAGCTGGTTTTAGCTGGATTTGGCTGGTAATTTTCCAGCCTGACCAGCTAAGACCAGGCTGGAAATGGCTGGAAACCAGCCTGGAAATGGTCAAAACCCCTCTAAAACCAGGCTGGTCAACCAGCTAAATCCAGCCAACAAGCCTAGGCTGGTTTAAGCTGGATTTTTCAGCAGGATGACCTCTTTACAATTGCATATTTTTGCAAAATACACGACTGGCAGATCTGACAAAATTCTACCATTGCAAGTCTGTTTCAGAGAATTTTCTGGTTCTTTTAAAATCACAAGTTTTGACAACTGCCTGTTTCTTTGCTCTGGCTGAGCAGTAAAAGGCCATTAGGTAAGAGCTCAAGCAGTGTGCCCATGGAGCCCAAACCTGCCGTGCGATTCACAAATCCCCAGAAAGCCTCCTCTTATTCAATATAGCTGCCCAGGATGGCAGCAATGGTTGGAGTGGCATGCTGATACTGACACCTCAATAAATCAAGATGCTTCTATATTTCACTAGCACACGTCACGCTCAATGATCTGACAAAGAACCCACGTTTACATGACATAAATGCCACCACAAATTTACTACAATATTTAAGTTTTTGCTTAAAAAATAATGCTAATCTTCTTTGTTTGTAAGCGTGTATTTTGGAAGTAAGCCATTTCAGATACAACCGCTGACCTAATGGATCATTCACACAGTGGATAATTCAAAAATAAAACAACAAAATGACCTAATGATTTACTCATGTAATCATTTGCACATCTAAATAATTAAAACTACTAACTTAGTCAGAAAAAAATAATTGATTAACCTTATTAGTGACTCAATAAATCCTTCACTCCAGTGATTTGGAATCATTTGCAGCACTTTGCAAATTATGCTCATTTTGCATGTCTTAATTCAATCAAAAATGAGAGTTGTGTTGTTTCAAACTCCTTCCTTGAGCTTCAAAACAGAAGTTAAAATATTTTAGATGAAATCTGAGAGTTTTCATCTTTCTCAGCAATGGACCTGAGACTGTCAGAGTCCAAATAAATAAACAAAAACATTCTTAAAAAGTCTATTGGACGGAATGCGTCAATAGAGCCGCCATCTTGCTACAGGGTAGCGCTCCTTTGAAATGAATGCGGGACCAAGGTACAGTGGAGGACTGTGGCCATCCAAAGCCAGAGATATACACATATACACATATATCTATGATCGGGGGTTTTCCTGGATGTTAGTATGTAAATTTTTTTTTTAATTACGAAAATTATAATTTTACATCACTTTTCTACATTGATTGATCAGTGACCGCACGGGCATTCCTGACAAAAAGCTTGTGTTTGTGTGGACAGAAATGTACTATTCACCCTCCCTGTTAAACTTGATCTAATCATGTCCTGAAACACAGCTCCTCTCCTGCTTTCACTTCTCATACTGACGGAGAGAGCGATTCGTTTGTGAATGAATCCCCCGAACGACTCTTTCACTAACGTTAGCCGACAATAATACAAGTTT